TAAAGGGACGGTGGATACCATCACCCTTGGCCTGGTGGATCGTCCTGACCTGATGTTCTGCGCAGGCACTTAGTATAACAATAACCCCTTTATCTAAACACCCACTGTGTTCCAAGACTGTACTAAGTGCTTCACCAGTATTTCTTTACATTTGATCCTCTCAACACTTCTCAAAGAATTGCTAGCACTGTCCACATTTTTGAAGGAGAAAACTGAGGTTCAGAGAGGTGAAGTGATTCCCCAAGGCTGCAGAGCTAGTAGTGGTGGCGGAGCTGGGATCTGCCAGACTTGAAGCACCTCGTACCATGGCTTCAAGGAAGATCTAGCAGCCAATCCCATGCCCCGGTCCTCAAAACAAGAGATTCAAGGCCCAGCTGCACCCCGGATGTAGCACATGGCCGGTGCAGGGGCCTCAGTTTCCCCATCTCAACTATGGAGAAGATCCTCCCTGCCCTGCTTCCCCCACGGGGCCGAGATGAGCACTCTGCTGACCTGGAAAAGGACTCAGTAGGCTATGAGATGGGACAGGAACTCTCAAAGTCTCATTCAGGAGGAGGCTAGGATCAGACCAGCTCCAGTCACAGAGGGGCCAGTGTAGGGAAAGTATGTGAGGGACGGCTGCCTCAGAAATGGACAGGCTCTGTGTGAAGGGAACTCCTCAGAACGCAAGGACTGAAAGAGAAGTGGTCCCAGCCCTCCCCAATCACCTGACCCTCACCATGGTTCCCCCTCCATTAGGAGTTAGGCAGCACTGCCCAGTGGTTAAGAACTAGGCCTCCAGAATCGAATCAGGGTTCAAGCCTCAGCTCTACTCATCTCTGTGTGTCCTTTGGACTCCCCTTCTGTCAGTCTCTTCCCAACTGTAAAATAGGGTGACAAAGATAAAAGCCTCACCAGGACCATAGTTAGGATGAGCTTTGGCCCATGGATATTGGTTGAACAATTATCTTCTGGCACCGGGTCTGTGGTCCTCAAGGGGATTCTAGTCTGGAAAGAGAGACTATATGTAAGGAGCCTTATACAGGTAGGTGTCCCCTGGATGGAAGAAAGAATGGATAGACGGACAGATGGACACACAAATGGATGGATGGATGGATGGATGGATGAATGGAATGAATGACTTCCTCCAGGTCACACAGCTAGGAAGTAACCTTTCCTGCTACCTCAATATGGCCTGAAGGATGGATAAGAGATACTCCAAGTGGAGGGGACACATGAACAAAGGCCTGGGGTCAGGAATTTTTGTGGCATGTTTGAGACACTGGTCTCATCATTCTCTTTCAGTAACTTGCTCAACAAGATGCTCTGAGGAGGGGGTCTGAAGGGAGGCTCTCCCAGAGTCCTCTGGGGCACAGCCAGGAGGTTGCATAGAGAAAAGGGCCCAAGCCCAGATGGGCAGGCAGGAGCAAGCCCAGACCTGGGGTCGGGCCTCAGAGGGCCCAGTCTGTCCATATTTGGTTTTCAAGGAACTCAGAGGGTTCTTGCTGGCCCTGCTGCCCACACAAGGAGTGAGGCCGCCCATAGCTGCTGGGTCGGGCAGGCAGCTGGGGCCGGAGCAGAGGCCCCACAATGGTGTGGCTGTAATGCAATTGTTCGGAGCTTGGCCTCTATAGTCCAGAATAAATGGGTTCAAATCCTCAACTTCTGATAACTCTGACTGGGCCAGCCACATCCCCTCTCAGAGGCTCCATTTCATCTGCAAAATAAAACAAAAGCAGTGTGGATAAGCGCCATTACTGAGTGTGCCAGCCTGTGCTAAGCACTCTCCCTCATTATCTTGCTTAATTCTCATCAAGATGGAGAAAGATTACCATTGTTCTCATAAACAAAACATGTGAGACCAGTGTTTCTCATCCTTGCGCAAGAATTCCTACCTCGAAGCCTTTGCTCTGCAGCCTCCTTCACCAGGAGGGACCCTCTCTCTAACCCACTCTCTGTGTACCTCGGTGCCCGGTGGGAGCTGTCCCAAAGAATTACTTTCCCGATGGTGGGACCTGGATTTCCAGATGAAGAACTTGAGGCACAGAGAGGTGAGGTCATAGGCAACTAGGAAACAGAGCTAGGGACAGCTAGGAAGTACTTAGCAACTTCCCTACTTTCCCATTTCTGTAATTTAATCGTTTCCTCTTCAAATATCCCCAACAAACTCTGTAAAATAACACCCAGCATCTGTCCCCACCGCTCTTCCAGTTTCCAAATCACAGCCAAGCCTTATCCAGCCTCTCCCAACAGCCCTGTGAAGAAGGTGGGTTAGATGTCACCCTCATTTCACAGGTTGGGAAACCAAGCCTCGGAAAATGAAGCAAGTTACTTGAGACATTGCAACTGGTCAGAAAGGAAGCCAAAGTTGACCTTCGGTGCTGTCTGACTCCCCTTCCAGTGCTCTCTCCCCACCTCACCTAGGAAGGACTCGTGGGGCATTCTGCGAGTAAAGAAATGAGGCTTCCTTTGAAAATCATAAAAGAATATGACTTCCGCCAAGATGGAGGTATAGGTGGATATCCCGTGCCTTCTCACACAACCAAGTTTAGGGACAACTAAATATTAGCATCAGAAAACACAACCAGAACACGGAAAATTGAACTTTTCGGAAGTTCGTTAACAACAAATTCTTCAGCCCGACCGGTAAGGGGCGAAACCGGCGGGTGGTGAGGGGTTGCACAGGAGGACTCCGGCGGACAGACCCGGGCGCAGAATCCAGACGCGCGAATCCAGACGCACGGGTTCCAAACGCAGGATTGGACCTAGTGAGCGACCGAGCAACCCACCAGGTGAGCAACTGCAGAGGAGACAGTGGGGAGGCAGTGCTGCGTGTTGACTGCGGTTGCCTATTTGCGCGCGAGCGGACAGGCGAGGGAGTGGGCGGTTGGACCGGCCGCGGCGGTAGAGGGCGCCGCCATTTTCCCCGCTCTGACCACGCCTCCACATACAGCGTCACAGCCCAGCGACTTGGGAGTCCAAGGCGCCGCTTCTCCCACTTAAAGGGCCAGAACAGACCAAAAATGTCGCAGGAAGACCTCAAAGCCCCAGAGATAAATCTAAGCGACGAAGAAATAGCAAAACTCTCAGACGCACAGTTTAAAACACTGGTCATCGGGATCCTCACAGATCTGGTTGATTATAGCCACAAATTAGAGAAACATATGAAGGCTAAACTAATGGAAATGAATGGAATTCCACAGGAAACCCATAGCGATGAAAAGGAAACTGGGACTCAAATCAATGGAGTGGTCCAGAAGAAAGCAAATAATGGCCAAACAGAAAAGAGTCAAGGAGCAAGAATTCAAAGAAATGAGGAGAGTCTTAGGAACCTCCAGGACATCTTTAAACGCTCCAATATCCGAATTATAGGGGTACCAGAAGGGGGGAAAGGCACAGCCACCAGTGGAAAACTTATTTGAACAAATAATAAAAGAAAATTTCCCCAATCTGGCAAAGGAAATAGACTTCCAAGAAATCCAAGAAGCTCAGAGAGTACCAAAAAAGTTGGACTCAAGAAGAAACACACCAAGGCACATCATAATTACATTAGCCAAAATTAAAATGAAGGAGAGAATCCTAGAAGCAGCAAGAGCTAAGGGGACAATCACCTACAAAGGAGTCCCCATCAGACTGTCAGCAGATTTCTCAAAAGAGACCTTACAGGCAAGAAGGGGCTGGAAAGAAATATTCCAAGTCATGAAATCTAAAGACCTACAACCAAGATTGCTCTATCCAGCAAAACTTTCATTTAGAATGGAAGGACAGATAAGGTGCTTCTCAGATAAGATCAAATTCAAGGAGTTCATCATCACCAAGCCCTTATTATATGAAATGTTAAAGGGACTTATCTAAGAAAAAGAAGTTAAAGAAACATGAACAGTGAAAGAACAACAAGCTCACAGTTATTAACAACCACACCTAAAACGAAAGCAAACTAAAAGGACAGCTAGATCAGGAGTGGAAACATAGAAATGAAGATCTCAAGGAGGGTTAGCAACAGGGGAGTGGGAGGAGGAGATGGGGGGAGAAGGTACAGAAAATAAGTAGCATAGACAGTAGATAGAAAATAGATGGGGGGGGCAAGAATAGCATGGGAAATATAGAACCTGAAGGACTTGAGACACATGGACATAAACTAAAGGGGGGTAATGGTGGGGATGGGGGGGCAGGGTGGAGGGGAATGAAGGGGGGAATAGAACAACTGTAACAGCATAATCAATTTAAAAAAATAAAAAATAAAAAGAAAATCATAAAAGAATAAAGTGATTGAATAAGCTGTAACTGTTCTAAGTCAGATCCTCCCCACATGACAGGCAGCAGACTAGAGCAGCTTTCTAAACTCATCAGCTTATCTTACTCAGACTGATTTCAGGAGGCACCTCGGCCCAACCTCAGCCGAGCCGGGAGCTATGGGGGGAGCCACGCCAGGGCCCTCGCCCAGAGGAGCCTAACCTGGCCTGAGCTTCACAGACTCTGGGATTTCACATCCCAGTAAAGTGTTCTTTCCAAGTTGGAGACGCAATTGCCAACATTTTGTTATTCGTCAAAGTCCATTAAAGAGAAAATAAAGCACTACTTTCTACTGTCATCATAAAATTTAATAGGAGAGACTAATCTCACAAGTAACCAATTTTTTTTAAGTAACCTTTGTAAGTAACTCAGCACATTGTCCTAGTTTTCTCCCTAAGCCCAGGCCAGTGAGAACTATATCTGAAGTGGGTAGTTGACAATCTTCAGATGAGCAGGAGATAAAACATGTACCAGGGGGCCCAACCCACAGCCTGAAGGCTGCATGCGGCCCAGGATGGCTATGAATGCGGCCCAACACAAAATCGTAAATTTACTTAAACCATTTTTTTCACTCACCAGTTTGTGTTAGTGTCTGTGTATTTAACGTGTGGCCCAAGACAACTCTCCTTCCAGGGTGGCCCAGAGATGCCAAAAGGTTGGGCAGCCCTGGCAGAGTATCTGTATTCACTGATGTCTTTGTGTTGAGAGACACATAAAACTATTCTGGCCACCTTAATAAAGAAAGATTTATTGGAAGAAGATTTTACTGGGGGTTACGTAGTGGACAGTGGGGTCAACCGACCAGCCACTCCTGACAAGGGCAGAAAATTTCCAGAACAAATGGGTCTCTGTCTGTCTGTCCCTCTGTCCCTGTCTGTGTGAACTGTTTTCTCTCTCTAGCGGCAGACAGGGTTCCTTTTGTGGCAGAGAGAATCGTGGCCAACAGCTTTTATTTTTCACATCTCGTGGCTCCAACAATGAGAAACAGGCCAGTTAATTTCTCAGTTCCAATATCCAGGCGTCGGGTATCAGTTGTGGCTTGGGATGGAGTCTGCACTAACGAGGATGTCCTGGGGTTCAGCGGAGGAAGATGCCTTCCTAGCTGTGTAGATGCAGCAGAGCTTCTTGGAGGACGTGGCGTTTGAGCTCAGTATCTCTGAAACAGAGAAAGATTCAAACTATAACAGAAAAATGAGCAAGGGAAGGGGAGAAAGTATCATCCAAAGAAGCTGTATTTTCACGTCTTACTTCTTAAGACGTTTATAGTTTATTTAAATTGAAATATAATTCCATATGTCATAAAATGTATTTTGCAGTTCTTTAAACTGTTATTATGAAATAATTTTAGGTTTACGGAAAAGTTGCAAAAATCGTTCAGAGGGTTCTTCTAAACTCTTCACCACCTATACCTCCCCCTCTTAGCTTCCCCTAATATTAACATCTTACCTAAGTACAAGGATCAGAACCAGGAAATTAACACTAATACAATATTATTAACTAACCCACAGAACTTATTTGAATTTTGCCAGTGTTCCTTTTGACCCAACCCGGGAACCCACATTGCATTTAGTCGAGTCTCAGTTCCGACAGCTCCTCAGTCTCTTTCCTCTATGACATTCACACTGAAGAGCGCCAGCCAGTCATCTCAGAGGCTGTCCCTCAATTTGAATGTCTGATGTCGTTGAGATCAAAGTTATGCATTTTAGGCAAGAACACCACAGCAGTGATGTCGTGCCTTCTGAGTGCATCACACAGGAGCTACATTCTGTCGATATCATTTGCTGCTGATAATAGTGACATTGATAACTCAGTTAAGGTGTCTGCTGGGTTTCTCTGCTGTAAAGGGTCCCTTTGTAATTAGTATCTTGTGGGGCAATACTATGCAAAAATAGAAACTTCTCAACATTTACAATTCCTTTTAAAAGTGCTGTCAAATATACACATTCTACTTTTATTCCACAAATGCCACCTGTTCACCCACTATGTGCCACATACTGGTCCAACGTGCATGGCTTGGCTTGCGTAGCTCTATGGTCTTGATGAGTCTTAGGACCCTTACCTGTATGAGGGGTGTCATTACATCTCACCTTACAGGGCTGCTGAGGATACAGGAGGACCGTGTTTGTGAACGTGTTCGGTAATGCCAACTGGTTGTTCCCTCTCCTTCCAAGGTGCTTGGCTCTGTCCTCACCCCCACCTATTGGCAATCTCCGTTTCTGTCCTGCCTGAACCCATGCCTGCAGGCTTCTGTCTGTCTTCACTGGCCAGACTCCCTTATCCTACTTGCCAAGTCTTTCTTGTGATGTCATCGAATAAGTTTTGCAAACACCAGGCAAGTCTTGTAGAGACTGACAATTTCCTCTGGAGCCTCTGTCTGCAATTTTGGGAGCTACTTCGAAGTGCCAAGTAATGCCTGGGACCTGTGGGTGGCAGAAAATAAGTGGGAGATGTAGGAATTGTCTTCCTCCGTTAATGTTTTGGACCTGAAAATGAAACTCCTGAACCCCAGAGTACTGGGCAAGCCCAAATAGACACTTGTGTCTTACCGAGCCATACAAGTGTAACATGGTCACACTTTAACTTCAAAATGTGAAAAGATGAGTTCACCCCTGACCCAACCTCCTAACTCAACAGCACTTTTATTTTTATCTATTTTTTTAAAGATTTTATTTATTTTTTTAGAGAGAAAGTAAGGGAGGGAGAAAGAAAAGAAGAACATTGATCAGTTGCCTCTTGCACACCCCAACCAGGGACCTGGCCCACAACCCAGGCATGTGCCCTCCTGACTGGGAATTGAACCAGCAACCTTTCGGTCTGACACTCAACCCACTGAGCCACACCAGCCAGGGCCTCAACGGCACTTTTGAGAACCAGATTTTAATGGACCAAGAGGGAGGTACAAGTGAAGCAGTAGCCCTCACTAAACTGTTACAGTCACTTCTGAGGTTGAAGTCAACCTTTTTTAGAGGCAGGAGCCTCCCATGTGTGGCTGTGTCTTTTTGGTCTTTTGTACGAGACTGTCATGGAGATCAAATATAATGAAGGGCGAAGGCACTTCGAAACTCCTATAGGGCCCAGTCGACATTGCTGTTCCCATCCTTTGGCTGAACACAGCTTTTTAGGAGCTGCTTGTCTGCAGCACAGCAGGCAGGTTAAGGGCCCCAGCTCTGACATCAGCCCAGGCCACCCTCTGCCTCCCTTCAGTCAAGCAGATGAAGCCCTCAAAATAGAGCCCCCCACTAAGTTGAGACCCAGCAGTGTACAGGGTGTTCCCTCCAGGGTCCTGAGCATTTTCCTCCTTGGGAAGTCACAGGCCTGGGTTTCTCAGGCCCACATCTCCTGCCTACAGAGCAGGAGGCCGTAGGCTAGACTTCCACCCCGCTAGCACGTGAGCAAGAATTAGTGGCAGCAGCTCAAGACTATTTGCTGAATTTATTGCTGAATCCTCTCCCCCAAGGACTCTGGGAAACACCCATTCCCCTGAGACCATCAAAGCAGCAGCTCTCAGGGAAGGCCTAGGAACCTTCACATTTAGGTGACACCAGTTGATTCCTGTGGCCACAAACCCAAACTACAATGTGCACTCGAATCCCTTGAGTATCTTGGGAGAATACAGATCTTCCTTCAGTAGGTCTGGGGTGAGGCCTGAGACTCTATTTCCAACAAGCTCCTAGGAGACACCAAAGATGCTGGTCCACAGATCACACTCCAAATGCAAAGCTCTCACCAATGGGCTGATCAGAAGGAAGTGTGGAAACCAGAAAATAATTTTGGGTGAATTGAAACAACAATGGGTTTGATGGCACCCTCTATCTACCTTGAAATTTTTATAATCTCAATACCACTTCTGATGGCCTTCCAATAAGTCCCCCTTTGCTCAGGATAATCCAGGGAAGTGTCCAGCATTTGCAAACAAAAGAATCTTTCCTGATACCCTAAAGTATCTTGCCCCCAAAAGTAGGAGAGGGTAACTCTTCCTCAGTCCCACTCTTTACCTTCCAGGCCAGTTCTTCCGGTTGCAGCCACCATGGCCTGGTTAAACCCACCTGCTTCTTAAAGGAACCAGATCCCTTTGGGGTGACTTCTGATCGTTTACATCTCCTTCCATAACACAGAAGAGGTTTACAAACATTCCCCTGGAGATTCCCCATGGCCCTCAATACTTTCCCAGAAAGAAATCTGAGGCTCCTCTTTGAGTGTCAATTCCAGCCCCTCAGCTGCATCCTGTATCAGTTAACTGGTGACTAATTGCTTCTGAATTGTAAACCGGCTGGCGCATCACCAGCTCCCACCCACACAGGTCATGTGCACCCTCCAGGGAAAGGTCCTTTGTGAGTCCCGAGGTTCCCTTGCTCCACAACTGTGTGTTCAACCTCTTCTTTGGAGCCAGGTCTTGTTCTAGGCCCTGAGGACTTGGTGGTGAGCGAGACAGACTCAGTCCTTGCCTTCATGGAGCTCACACATCTAGCATTAGCCAAACAGCAACAAATAAATAATTTAAGACAATAGCTGGTATTAAAAAAATCTAAATAACACAGTACCGAGTACTGCCTGGTGCTTCAGATAGGTGCACTGGGAAGGCCTTTCTATGGGCGTGACATGTGAGCTGAGACATAAATGGTAATCAGGAGCCAGCCAGAGTGCAGATGAGGAGGAAGAGTGGCCCAAGCAGAGAGCAAGGCAACAGCAAAGACCTGGTGGCAGGGACCAGCATGGCGGAGAGCACTCATTGTACCCACTGCACCCATTCAGCCCCCAGGGAGTCAGGAGTCAGCATCAGTTTGGAGCTGGTTGTGACAATGGGAACAAAACATCCCTCATTCTTCCTGTTGGCAGAGAGGAGGGCTGGGGTTTACTCCTCCTGGCCCCGCCCTCAGAAGGTGGAATTATTCACCTGATTCGTCAGATCCCAGGGTCCCCATTGGTCCTTGGTGGTAATTAGGAAGCTCCTTCTTCAAGATCTCACACTGCACAGTCCCACTGGGGGTTTAGAGAGGAACCTACTTTAGAGGAAGTGGTGCCCTGGAATTCAGACCCAAGTATGACACTCTGCAGAGAAACAAAAATTTGGATGGTCGTGAGAAATTTCCTGATTTTTAAATGCCAATGACAAATTCAAAAAAGCTTTTTAGAAGCTGTACAGGCCCAGACACAACATGTCTATGGGCAAGACCTGACCCACTGGGCATCCCAGGGTGTGGTGGGGCCTGGGGAATGCCTAGAGATATGGGAGAAAGGAGCCAAGAAGGATGCTAATTACATCCTGGATTCTGGAACACCCTTACCCTGGGCAAAGATGTGCCCCACTGCCACAGGTACATATTGAGCACCTACTGTATGCAGGTTTCTGTGCTAGGTTGGTAGATACAAAGCACACTGTGTGGCTATACCTTCCTCCAGGGCAGGGGCGGCACCAGGCTTCCAGTCCTGACGTGCCCTCCTGTAACTGTCGTGTCCTTGGGTTAGTTCATCATCTCTGGGATTCAGGAAATAGCCTACGTGGACATCAGGTTACCCAAACGAGGTGAGGGTGGATTATGAAGGGCCTTCAGGGTCTGGGTGGAGAGTCTGGGCTGGATCTTATTAGGGGGTGGGAGCCACTGCAGGTTCTTGATCAGAGGAGTGAGGCATTCTGAGTAAAATATTTTAGGAAAATGTATCAGGCCACCTCTGCAGAGGCGAGGGTCACACACCATCCAGATGTGGTATAGTAAGATAGCAACTAAGGCTTATGCAAATCATATCACCCCCTGCTCAAAAGCCTTCTGTGGCTCCCTACAGACTTTCCATAGGCAGGACCAACTTCATGGGTGTTCAACCTATGTAGTAGCACAGGGCCCTGTGCTTGGTTGATCCTATTGTCACCATCTTGAAATTCTTTTTAAAACTTTTTTTTTTTAATTTATCTTTAGAGGAGAAGGAGGGAAGGAGAGAGAGAGAGGAACATCAATGTATGGTTGCCTTTCTTGTGTCCCCTGCTGGGAACTGGCCTGCAGGGAACCGGCCTGCAACCCAAGCATGTGCCCTGACTGGGAATCAAACCGCGATCGTGTGGTTCGCAGGCCTGCGCTCAATCCACTGAGCTATACCAGCCAGGGCTACCATCTTGAAATTTTTTATAATTTTTGTACAAGGGGCTTCACGTTTTCATTTTGCAACAGGCCCCACAAATTGTGAAGCCAGTCCTGCCCACAGGGACCCCTTGGCTTGCCCCTGCTCCCCCTTCCACCTCATTTGCACCCCTCTCGTCCCTTACCCTTCAAACTCTGGTCACATCGGTCCTCCATCAGTCCCTAGAGGTTGTTCCTGCCTCAGAGCATTCTCACAGCCTGTTCCCCTGCCTGGAACATCACCCTTCACCCCAAGACCAGCTCAGTTCCTTGTTTAGCAAATTTCTTCTTATCCTCCAGGTCTGAGCATAATTACTTTCTCTGGCCTCCAAGGATTAACTATTCAAAGGAAAACTTCAAAAATAATTTACAGTAGGTCCCCCGGTACATGTTCTCATGGGGTCCTGTGGCTCCTTCTTCACGGAGCTGCTCCCGATCTGTTTGTATAGGGCTCTGTTTGCTGAGTCTGCCTCCCTTCAGATGGAGCTCCACAGGGCCTATGAGCATCAGCAGATGCGTACAAATCTCTGTCTGTCTGGCTCCAAGGGGAGGCTGAGAGAGGGGTTAAATGGAGGAGAAAGGAGGGGACACTGCCTCCAACCCACCTTGGTCCCTTCCTTCAGGGTGGGCAGGAATTTTCAGAATGCGCACACCACACACTCGGCAGGGTCTGCCCCGGCCCTGGCCTTTCCCAAGCTGGAGCTCCAGGCCCTCTTGCCCTGTCCCCATCCCAGTGATGGGACAGTACTAGAGGGGTGTTGAGAAGGGGATACATTTCACAGAGCCAAGCTTTAGTCTAAAGGAAGCAATAATGTAGGCATTTCAGAGCTCTGTCAGAACCACCACAGGTGTTTGGGGGCTTGGTGTTCAAAGGTGTGTTGAGAGACTGATGTCCATCCGGGGAAATTTTTCCTCTTCTCTTTTATTTAAAATTTTTTATTTATTTATCTTTAGAGGGGAAGGGAAGGAGAGAGGGAGAGAAATATCAATGTATGGTTGCCTCTCATGTGTCCCCTGCTGGGAACTGGCCTGCAACCCAGGCATGTGCCCGGACTGAGAATTGAACCATGATACTCTGGTTCACAGGCCCGTGCTCAATCCACTGAGCTACACCAGCCAGGGCCGAAATTTTCTTCTTCTTAACCAGGTAAGTAAAGCCATTCATACCACAAGAGGTAGGAAGAAGAAACAGGATTTGCACAAAACATAATACATGTTTCGTTGACCCTGCGAGGTAAGATCAGAAATGGCATCACATCTACCCAGGTGGCTCACATTTATTAAGCAGGACAGGGATCAACACACCAGCTCCTAAATGCTCACCCCAGCCCTACGAGGTTAAAACTATTTGACTTTTCATTTTGTAGATAAGAAAACTGAGGCCCAGAGAAACTGAATAACTTGCCTGATGTCACACAGCAGAGAAGGGAGAGAGCTGAGATTTGTACCCAGACCTGTCCAAAGGCAGACCTGTCCTGAGCCCTTCACCACCACAAAACAGCTACTTGATTGGCTTGCTGTGTGATTCTGGGCAAATTCCTCAACCTCTCTGAGTCTCAGATTCCTCACCTATCAATTGCCCCTGTTTAAACCATCCTGTGCTGGGTAATGGAGTTAATTCTTTATAGATGTTAATGCTCTGCTTGATCTCCACGGCAGCCTGGTAAGGGAAGAAATGTGGCAGAAGCAATGTTTTCTATTCTCCAACCTGACTCTTCTTCCTGAATATACAGGAAGGGTATATGCTCATTCTCCCCTGTACTTAGTAGAGTCATGTGACTACATTCTAGCAAATGAAATTACACATTACCCCTGGGCCACGGCAATTAAGAGTGGGTGAGCTTCTTGTTTTTAGGATCCCTTTCCATATGCATTGGGTTCAGGAATGAATTCCAGGGAGGGCCTGAGGGTGTCACTGCTTGGAAGAGAGCCGTCTTGCAAGGGAGATGGGTTAGGAGAGCACCAACCTACATCGGACTTTGCATGAGCAAGAAATAAACTCTAATTGGGTAAAGCCATTGAGATTTCTGGGTTGCTACACCAGTTACTTACACCGAATTTAAAAAAATGTTTAAAACTGTGTGTCAGTTATTAATTGCCACAATGCTATATAACAAATCACCCCAAAACAGTACCTTAAACTGAAAATCATTTTATGTAGCTCTTGATTTCATGGACTAGCAATTTGGGCTGGGCTCAGCTGAAGGTTCTTCTGGTCTCAGTCGGGCTCATTCATTCGTCTGTGGTCAGCTGTTGGATCATCTGGTGCTGGACTAGCACAGCCTCATCTAGGATGACTCGTTCCTGCTCCAGTGGTCTCCCATCCTCAGGCAGCACAGCCCAGGCTTGTTCACACGACAGTTTGGAGGGTTCCAAGAGGTAGGTAGAAGCTAGAAGGCTTCTTAAGGTCCAACTCAAAACTGGCAATGTCACCTCTGCTGCATTCTATTAGCCAAAATAAGTCACATGGCTGAGCCCAGATTTACAGCATGAAGAAAGAGACTCTAACTCCTGATGGGAGGAGCTCCGAAGTCACATTACAAAGGGGCTTGCATTCAAGAAGGCAAAGCTCAAAGTCATTTTTGCAAACAATCTACTACAGGAGGGAAGCTCAGGCAGATGAAGTGGCTAGTGAATGGAAGAATCAGAATTTAAGCAAAAACTGAAACCCTTTTCATGCCCCGAGCTTCCCTGGTGACTCCAAGGACTGGTCCTCTTTGGCCACAAGGGACCTCCCCACCTCTGCTAGCTGAATCTGGAGTCCTAACCTCCCAGAGAAGGGGCACAAAAATCTGGATCTCACTCTAAACTTTGGAAGAGCAGGGCATCTTTTCAAAAATCTGAGGCTAGGAAACATCTTGTACTCCAAGCCCAGAGAAGCTGTGATTGTAGTGACCTGGGGCTGGCAGACAGGCCTTCCCCTCCGGGCCTTCTCACATCAGATGGCTCTAGAGACCCACTACGCTGTGTGACCTGGGCATAGCTCACACCTTCTCTGTGCCTCAGTGTCAGGATGCAAAGAGTAAAGAGACAAGAGCTCAGCCTCTGGAATCAAAGCAACTGGGCCCAAATCCTGACTCACTTGCTGTTGGTCTCGGGTTAGTCCCTTCCCGTCTCTGGGCCTCACATTTCTCTTCTGTAATACAGGTGTAAGAAAAGAGCAGTCCCCACCTGGGGGGCTGTGGTGAGCACTGAATGAGTGAATATGCATGATGTGATTGCATGCTGTAAATGACCCCAGGGTTGCCTTCATATCTGACAGGTGGCATTAGCATCATCTCAAACAAACCCCCATTTTACAGAGGAGAAAACAGAGACTCAAGCAGGTGATGTGACTTGCCAAGGCCACACAGCTAAGGAGCAGTGATGTCACTGGCAAACTCAGGTTTGTCTGATTCCAGAAGCCCAAGTCTTCACCACTCTAGAGTTCGAGTTCTGGCTTTGGGTCTCAACGCTGCCCCTTCCAATCAATCATGTGTGCTTGAACAATTTCCTTTTCCTCTGGTTCTCACTTTTTTCTCATCTAAATAAATGGCAATTTGCCCATAATGCCTTACGTATTTTCCTCAAATGGGAAAATACACAGGAAGTGCTTAGCACAGTGCCCAGGATGGACATGTGTGTGCTCAGCAATTGGAGGCTGCCATAATCTTCAGGGGCAAGTAGCTTAACCCTCTGTGCCTCGGTTTCTTTACCCATTAAATAGGGCTACTGGCATTCTTATCTCACTGGGGTGATCGTAAGGAATAAATGAGTTACTGTGGATAAGCTTTAGCACAATGCCTGCACTTAGCACATGTACGTAGTTCATAAGCACTTGCTATTATTTTCAAAGTTCTGAAAACTGTTGCAGGCCAGCATGAGATTATGGGGGACCCCAGCCCCACCACTGGCTGCAGCCTCAGGCATTGCCCTTGCTGCTAT